CAGAGCTCACAAGGTGAATTGTAGGGATTCTGCTCCTCCTACTCTTGATTTGATTTGTTAGTCATGAGTAATGAGTAATGGAAAACCATTCTAGGACATTTGAATTATCTCCAATGGCTACACCTAAAAAATATTGTCCTTGCAATTTATTCTTGTTTGGAAAAAAATGCCTCTATGAAAAAATAAAGAGAAGAAATAAAAAATGAAGAAAAAAAAAAGTTGAAGAAAATGATCAAGTGCCGAGATTTGCATATTTGATATTGTGCTCTATAGAGTTGTGTATGTATTTTTCCTGGGAGATAATTGGAGATAGCGGATGGTGATTTTTCATCGATGTTTTGTTCAATTTTTTTGTCACTTAGCCTATATTTTCCTACCTTGTCCAAAGAGCCTACATTACAACCCAAAAGAAATTTTGATTCATAGCTCACGTACATTAATTGTATTTAGTAAAGATTTACAAGTTTATGATAGATTCTTGCGAGAGAACGAAAATCCTAGGAACTTATGTGAGTTAGTTCATCTTGAAACCGAGAGGACATTATAACAATTAATATCTACGATTTACTTGTTCAAGAGAAAGGTTGAAATCAATTTAGCGATAATCTCTACGATTGGTAAAATTAAATTAGGTTTGTATGAATATAAACGTTTCATGAATTAATTTCGAGGAAAGCATAACCTAGAATCTATCTTTTGTATCTTGCTTTATTTTTTTATTTTAGATAAATTAGCCCTTAGTTTGATTATTTATTTTATAATCATCATCCCGGTTCATTAGTCTAGATAATATTTAATCGTCATTATTTTAGTACTTAATTAATTTGACTACAATCTTTGTGGAATACCACCTTGCTCGCCACTACCTATAGCTACGCCGTACACTTGCGGATAACGAAAATAATTAGCGAACACTCCTCTGATGCGGAGGGAAATTCCACACAATCTCGTGCACACTGAGCTACACAGTCTCGCAATGATTCATACTCACGATGCTACATATTGATTAAATTACTGGTTGTTACTCCAACTAGCTCTTTAAATGCATGGCTTCTGGTAGGTCTTCTCATGCTTCCTCGCACTAGAGAACTTGTTGATGAACAACGAGCTAAACACACCAAAGCTATAGATTGGTCATGGTGTTAGCTGGCGGAACCAAGCTTGAGCAGAAACTTTTGAAGATGTCAGAAATGCGCAACAACAAACTGCATCATTGTATCGGTGTAACACCGACACTTTATCACGATGGGGGGGGGGGGAAGAAATTGGTAGAGTGGCCACAATCACGATGATACTGGCAATATATATATCTTTCCCTGTCGAGACTTTTGCGGTGGGTGGCAAGGGCTTAGGTGTCGCAAGTAACTTTGTTTCTCCGCATTGCTCCATAACCTCAGCTCCTCTTCCTTCACTTCGCTTCGCTTGGTTTATAGTGCTCGTACCTGGGTTCCTTAAACCAGTCCCCGACCATAACCTCCTCTGGGATCTCTTCACTGACTCTGACGAGCTCTCTCATATGTCGGCCTCACATTTGCTTTATCATTCTGTATGAAATCGGCTTCCGCCTCCTCCATAACATATTTGCTCCATTTTTCCAGGAGCACGTCAAACGATCTCGTCGATCTTTTAGCCAATGAGTCCCTGCACTTCCCTGGTCGTAAGCCACGAGTAAGGCCTCCAACTTTTTTTTCTTCTATCGCGGTAGGGACTTCCACACATTCCTTGGTGTAACGTACTACTTACTGTCGCAAAGATTCACCCTCTTTCTGCTGCATGCTAATCAACGACAAATATGTTTTGTCGTGCTTCCTAGCGCTGGAAAACTGATTCAACAATAGAGAGCTAAACCTCTCAAAACTGTCGATAGAAATAGGTGGCAACTGGTGAAACCAATCTTGCGCCGACCCTTTTAAGGTAGTTAATAAGGCCCGACAACTAACTGCATCGCTATATCGGTGTAACACTGCTTTATTATCGAATGACATCAAGTGTCTTGCTGGATCTGCTGACCCATCATAGGATAAACTTAAATTTCTTAAATTGTTTGGCAAATCACCTCTCAGCACTTCTTCGGTGAAAGGATGCCCGCGGGATACAATCTGTATTTTCCCTATACCCGAGCCTACAATTCGCGTATCTGAGACGCCAACCTCTGCAAGGTAAGTCCTTCTTGTTGTGGCAATGCGACAGGTTGCGACGTCACTGACATGTCATCTTTCGCTTCGCCCCCCACACGCCGTTGAACCTGGTGTTGGGCTAAAGACGACTGTTGGGGTAGAGGCGGCCTGATCAGCTCACTGGGATTCTCCTATCAACAATTTGAGCTAGACTTATTGCCTCGGCAATAATCCTGTGCAGCTCTGACTTAGTCATATGAACCATCTGGTTTTCTTCTGTTGTCTGGAGGGGAGGGGGGGAGGGTTATTTCCCGAAGGATTCTTTTCACCCGCCACGACCACCTGCCTGTTATTGAGGGAGGCCGACTGACCTGCAATTCCACCGAATCCCTCAGCAATCTGAGTTTTTTCTTCGTTATTAAGGGTACCGAACTCACCCCCATTGTCGGTCTGATTTCCCGATCGTCCTAGGTTCACCGATTTCTCCTGGGTTTTTGTCACTGGTGTTAGGGTGGAACCCGGTGCCGACAACATTTTCTTCGACTTGACGACCACTTGTGACCACCCCGGTGGGGGTCCAGGCCTAAACGCCCTTCGTGTCCATGCGTCATTCATGTCTTTTATCAATTTTTTTTTTCGAGTTGTCTCCCTCCATGGTTCTGTTGTTCGTCACTTTTTACTTCGTGAGAAAGGAATCAGCCTCTTGCCTTCAGTAGAAACTGAAGTCTCTCCATAGACGACACCAATTTGATAAGTTAAATTGTCTCGAACCACTCGGTCGTTCCTCCGAATCCTGTTACGTCTTCTCGATCGCTGGTACCTGCAAAGTACGCCGGGGATGGTCCTGACGCAGACACTCCGATGCTCAAGTCAGTGAAGGATTTGAGAGTAAACTTGCAGAATAAAGAGACAAAATTTTAGTTTGTGTATGCGTGTGTGTATTAATAAAGAAACCTGCTACTTTTATAGTTAAAGTAACCTTGTCCTTCAAGACTTTTGATGCGACCCAGAGTCCTTCCTCCATCCGTTTCTATACCAAACATATCCTGCGTAACTGTATAGAGTCCAAACCGCACTCAACTCTCCTGGCGAGTGGAATTTCATTCCCATACGTTACTACAAGATGCCACGTCACTATGAGCTATCTGGCAATGACACCTGAGTTATCTGCTCGTCAAGGGCTTTAATACCTACCTGATTATATGCAGGCCGACCTCCTTAGTTCCTTCCGCCGACCATCATGGCCGAGCTTATCCCTGTTCATTCTCCCATATGCATACGATCTCATCTCATGTCTTGGTCTTCAGTTGATTGCTGAGCTCGAATGTTGAGCTCGGCCTTCCCCCTCATTCCTACCGAGCTTACCACATAACCCCATGCCATGATCCTCAGAATCCAAAGCATCTGCACACCTACGCCGAGTTCCATAACCTAGCTCGGCCACTCATCACTCGATACCTTTGAGTTACTAAGGTTAGCCGTGCTGAAGACCAAGCCTTCCTCTTATTCTTATGCTCCGTACCCCATTAGTAACTCATATGAGTTACTAAGGTACCCAGCCGTGCTGAGGACCAGACCATTACGCTATGCATATCACCTAGTACATGACGAACTCGACTCGCACAAGCCGGTCTCATCGGTCCACAATTTTATGCCACATCAAATAACATGACAAGTAATGCTAAAATTATGTTCTTGCATCAACAACAAACCCCTTATATATAATTACCGAACTAGTACAATGCCCGTGAACTATACGAATGTTCCATAAAAAAATAATTGTCCCACAAAAAGTGAAAAAAAATGAAATTCATATAATGAAATAAAAAACTATAATTAAGTAACAAGAAAGTAATTTTTTTAATATTATTTTGAATCCTAGAAATTTTTTATAAAGTATTATTTGTTTCGGGATGCCGGGATATTTTTCTAGAAAATATTTTTATTTATCAGTATTATCTGAGCCTAAAGTGACAGTCTCGCAATGCTTCGGGATCTTTATGTGATAGCTTGGATGAATTTTAATTTATTTCCAATAAAAAATAATTAGGTACAAATTATCCATAAATATGTTGATTATTTATGGTCATTTTACATGTATTAATATTGCATTTTCTATTATAATTACTGAATTGTAAATGTATTTTAAAAGTTAATAATTTTTGTACTTTTTATCAGTTTTACATATAAAATATATCAAATTAATCATCTCTTAATGAGTTTCGATTTGGCATCTATATTGTAATTATAAAATAAATAATTTATATTTATCTTTTTAATAATAATGAAATTATTTATTAATATTAATTATAAAAATAGAATTATTTATCAATTAATATATTTATGTTTAAAGTAGTTATATGATATAAGGTAAAAAAATTATAATAATATAACACGTGTAAATTGCACGAGTAATAAGTGTCATTTTAAAATATATAATAATACATATTTTTTGTAAAAAAATAAATTAAAACATTTTTTTTTCATTAATTTTAAAATATATGAATAAATTATTTTAACAAGTACTCGTGTAAAACACGCGTATTGTACTAGTCAAACTTTAAAACCATAACTCCATTCGAAAAACATATCTAACAACAAATATCGATTGCTTCAAAGGTTTAAACCAAATCATATAAAACACCACCCCCAAAAACCTCACAACACTACATAAAACAAGTCCAAATCCAAATCTTTGTAACAGGAAACCAATCAAGCAAGCAAAAAAAGTCGTTATTAAAAAAGAACCCAAAAAAAAAAAAAAAAGGTTAGAAGAATACATCATCGGATTTGTTTCGCCTAAATCAATCACCATCCCTTTTCCTTCCAAAATATCATGCTGTTGATAGATTCCTCGCCTCTTTCACCTGGTCATTATCATCATCAGTTTTTCTTCCGGGGACTCGGTAAATGAAGCTCTGCAGAGTCAGTAGCAGACGAGGAGGAGGAGGGGTTGAGTCCATACTCGCTGGTGGCTCCATACTCGGTACTATTGAACTCCTGGCTCGTCATCACCATCTTCCGGAACTTCATCATGTCAGCATTGTAGGCCCCTGTGTCGTAGCTCGCTATGCTCCCGTTCGGGTTGAAGGCCTGGCTCTGCCCTGGTTTCACGCCCTCGTTCAAATCCTCCAGTGATGAGTCCCCATCCAGCGCACGTACAATCTGATCAGTGTGTGAGCACACAATTTTGATATTATTTGTATATGATTAACAAATAGCATTCTGTATAATAATCTTGGTTTTAGCTCATCAGGATATATAGGATAAGTCTTTACCTGGCTCATGCGTGGGCGTCTTCTAGAAGAATGGCGAATGCAGGCGGCAGCACAGGCAATCAAACGAGCCATCTCGTGAGGAACATAGTTATCTTCAAGGCGTCGGTCAACTAGTCCACTGTAATCCCCGCTTTCCAACCCTTTAGTCGCAAGTGGTCTTGCCTATTAAATTACAAAATTGTCATGATTTTTTGTATTTTCTAATTATGAGAAATGCAACAGTTGTTGATATTAGATGACTGAAATATGGATGAGATGATCAGATAAAATCAAACCCAGTCTACTAAGCTTAAGCTATCCATGGCGTTATTTGAGGGATCCACTGGCCGACGTCCAGTGATTAGTTCCAACAGCATGACCCCAAATGAGAAAACATCAGATTTTTCAGTTAGCTTGCCGCTAGCTGCATACTCGGGTGCCAAATACCTATAATCAAGGCAAGATATCCTATAAGCACTAAAATTTTCATTCTGAAATATAATGAAGGAAGAAAGCAGTCGAGTTTTGTTATCAAAATGTTAATAATGCTTGTCAGTCGTGTCAGTTTAAATATATGATCTGCATAACTTGAAATACAAAATGCAGCATTATATTTGTTGTTCACACAAACATAGCTTAAACTGAAGTCGCCAGAGATCAGCATTGAAGGAAAGTATGGAATGCATTTCACCAGACCATCACACTTGAAGCTATTATTATTATATCTAAAAAATATGTTTTCTTTTTATTTCAATTTAATCACCAAGACGGCCAACTGCCTTTAACTTCAAGTAACAAACAAAATAAGTGAAACACTCGTTTTTGAGAAACGACTTACCCAAAAGTTCCCATGACACGTGTTGAGACATGGGTGTAATTGTCAGAAGAGAGCTTGGCCAATCCGAAATCAGCCACCTGGAAATAAATCAGGGCATGAATACAAGTGCGAACAACTAACGATCACGACCAACTTAAGAGCTTTATTTGCAGTTAATTAATTACCTTGGCCTCGAAGTTGGAGTCAAGAAGAATGTTTGCTGCTTTAATGTCACGATGGATAATCCTAGGGTGGCCTGTATAATAGTAACACAATCAGAATATTGTATAAAAGTGACAATGGACTATAATATATGTATGAACAATTATCATACAATCTTCATGCAAGTAAGCTAGCCCCTTCGCCGATCCCACCGCAATTCGAAGCCTAGAAGCCCAATCCATGACTGGTTGCCCTTTTGCTGAATCACATATTTATTCATCAGAGTCATGAGTTGCAGATTCAATACCAATATAAATAAGGTTGTGCTAACAAATGTCCACACTAACTCAATCACCCACTCACTCACCATGAAGGTGGTATTCCAATGTCTTATTGGGCACAAACTCATAGACGAGCATTCTCTGTTCCCCAGCAATGCAGTAACCAACAAGGGACACAAGATAGCGATGATGGACACGACTGATGATTTCGACCTCTGCCTGAAACTCTCTCTCACCTTGCCCGCTGCCCAACTTAAGGCTCTTGACAGCCACTTCCTTTCCATTGGGCAGAATCCCCTTGTGCACGTACCCAAACCCGCCCTGCCCCAGTAGGTTTGCCTGAGAGAACCCACCAGTTGCAGCCGCAAGCTCGTCGTAAGTGAACGGGCTCTTGGCTCCATACCCTCCCACGTTAGGAGATGCAGCAACCTGCAATTGGAACGGGTTGTGGCCCGAGTGGCTACTCGGGCTGAACTCACTGCTACTGTTGCCTGCCAGATGCTGGCCCCACCCCCCAACAGGTGTCCCCAAGGCGCCAGGTGGCGGGGGAATCTTCATGTGGGGATCGATGGTCGGACTCACTTTTTTCTGTACTGGACCTTTGTAGTATTGATCACCACCTGACCAAATCATGGAACACTAGTATAGTATAGGATTCGATATTAACCATTCGAGATAAAACATAAATTAGCTTTAGCAACTTTACAACATATTTGTAACCTTGCTCCAAATAAAACTCCCGTTTCTTGTTCTTCTTCCTGATGCACAACGTACAGACGAAAATGAGCGCGAGAAACACTATTCCACCTCCTATAATCCCTGCAATTATGGCAACATCGTTTGTGGACTCTGAAGGACTTGGCCCCATCGGGGGCCTTCCATTATTATTGCTATCTAGCCTTGGTGGGGAAGGTGCTGAGATGGCTGGCGATGGCGGTGATCGGCCGGAAGGCGCCCCTGGAGTTGCCGGCGACACGACTGGCGTCCGATTGGATTCCGGGGACGGGGCGGCGGGCGGCGGCGGGGTTTGCTCATCGGCAGGCGGTGGAGGGTTGTTTGGGCTCCCGCTGGGAGGCGGCTGGGATCCTGTGGGAGGGGGAGGTGGGGAGGGATCCGACGGGGGCGGAGGGGAGGAAGCTTCAGGCGGAGGTGGGGAAGGGGACGGCTCCGGTGGAGGGGAGGATGCCGGTTGAGGCGGAGGAGGCGGGCTTTCTGTTGAGCTGGATGGTGCTGAAGCCATTCCCGCGGAGGAATTTCCGGCGTGGATGCGTAGGAAGTTCAGAATCGCCGGAAATTTGAGCTCCGCTAAATTAATCCGAGGATAATCGGTTTAATTTCCTTTATGCTCCTTCACAACAATGGACGCCACCTAAAAATGCTTATCAGCCAGCGGGTTAATATTGTGCAAAGACCACGAGCAAATGCTCGTTATTTGCACGTTTGCATTGAGAATGATTGAATAAAATTGATCTCTGAAAGAAGAGATAGAAAGAAAGCTTACCTGAAGATTGATTGGTCCTCCAAAGGTAAAAACGGAGAGAGAGAGAGAGGAAACTTAGCATTGTGTTTTCTTTAGCCATTATAGAAAGGACAACACCAGAGATTGGCGCTCCTACAAAACAGGGCCTTTCTCCTCCCTCGCTCTCTCTCTGCGTCACATTTGCGGGTTTTTTGGACCTCGCCTAATAACAGTTAGCTCGTTTAGATAATATTCTTTCACTATTTACTATTTAGATTTTATCTCAAACAAAATATATAAATAAAATCTTCAAAATTAATTTTTATAATAAGTCTAATTTTTTAAAAATTCTGTAAAAGTTGTGGGATAGTTTCCCAAACTTTTTGGACTCCCGTAACCATTTGCATTTGGACCCTTTTTTTTTATTTTTTTTATTTTTTTTTTTCGAAACGACGATAAGTAATCTCATATATAGATAAAGTCCATAACAAATACGGGATATCGAGGGACCACAATCCTAACAAATGGATCAGATGAAAGCAACAAGCTTCTTAGAAAACAAACAGAGAACCGGAAAAAGAAACACACGAACGGCAAGGTAACAGCCGCAAAGCTCCGAGGAGACTTGTTACCTGCTAGAAAAACAACTAAGCTAAACAAATGACAGTAGAACAAAGCAAATAGCTACTGCCAAAGGCCTAGCTAGAAAAACATAAAACATAAAGCAAGCTAGACAAAGAAGAAGCAAACTCAAGCCGTTCTCGGATTGCGTGTCAACAATAACTTTCTCCGGGGTCCAGATCTTTTAGAAAATCCACAGGTTTTCGAATTTTTCAAAGTTGCCAAAGGATATAAGTAGAAAGTTGTAGTTTGTCTTCCACTGACTTATTATCCTTGAGCAGACAACAATAAGCAATGAGGTCAGAGACAAAAAATTTCCAGAAAACCGAGAAGGGCCATCCCATTGAACAGGAGCATCAATCCTCCACACATTTTTAGTTCTTGTACATTCAAAAAGTGTATGCTCAACAGTCTCTTGTTGTTCCCCACACACCATGTAGATAATGTCCAGCTTGAGACCTCCTTTCTTCAAGTTAATAGCAACGGGGAGTACACCCGTTGAAGCATTTCCAAATGAAATGCTTTACTTTGCTCTTGATCTACAACTTCCAACTTTTGTTTCTCATCTTTCTCAAGGAGTGAGCATTGGAACTATTCTCAGCTACATCAGGCTAAAGTAATCTTACAGAGATTAGCAGAGCATAAGTGGAAGCCACTGTGAAAATATGCCTTGCATAAAAACACCATAAAGCTTTATCAGGCAAGTGATTGCTCAATGTTTTAATCTTAAGAATAGCATCACACTCCAAGTTAAAAAAAACCCAGTTTTTGATGAGGTCCCCCTTCCATGATATTCCATCTTCCAAAAATTACCAGCAGCTTATTGTCAGGGAGATCGAGTACTCGAGGATGGTCCCAAATTCTTGTTTTCTTGTCATTTCTGCCCTGCATCATAAAGCCTCTAAGAAAAGTTGGTTGCAATTTTAGCCAATTCCTCCACATCCATGAGGCATTCTGTGTCGGTTTGGCTCTAAAGAAATCACCATCGGAAAAATATTTGTTCTTAATGACCTTGCTCATCAATAATCCTGGCTTAGTAACTAATCTCCAAAGTTGTTTCAATATCAGGGCGTCATTGAAACACACATGGAAGTCCAAGCCACCTGTAGCTCTAGGGAGAGTTAACAAGGTCCATGTCTTCCAATGAATACCAGATTTGGAGTTCTTATGAGAACACCACCAGAAATTAACAAAAAGTTGAGATAGCTCTCTTTACAGATACCTACACACTTGGGATATTCATGTAGTTTTATACATGATATCAACTTTAAATTCAACAATTTTTATTCTTAAACATCAATTTTCAACTTTTATGTCAAAAAATTATGTTAAGTTAGCATTATTCCTAGCAATTTTCACTCTTTAATCCCAACTTCTCAAAAAAAAAAAAAAAAAGCTCTCCCTTTCCTCTTGTAAAAAATCCTCAATCTCCCTTCTGAAATCCTAGTCTCTCTCTTTCTGTCGCCGCCTCCCCTCAGCAGGGCTCTCTGCGGTGTCTGCCAGCGCTGGCTTGAGCGTTTTGTCTTCCCGGCGTAGTGTTTCGCCACTTGATTTCAGTCGGTTATAGCAGGTTTTGGAGTGGGTTTCCGGAGCTTCTTAGGCAAGGCCACGTTGTTGGCTCCGATCGTCCCTTTGTAGCTGAGGTCGGAGTCTTCTTCTCCCTCGTTTCCCTTTCTTCAATTGTGTTGGGTTGAGGGGATGCGCTGGCGGGTTCGGGCTTTCGTTCGATTCGTGTTTCGGGCCCACTTCCTCGGTGATGTTGGGGGTGGAGTTTTGTGACCTCCGGTTGCTAGTCTGGGGGTCGTCCACTTGGTCTGTTGGTTTCAGATATATAGTTAGGCGTAGAAAGTACTGTAATTTTCGTTTCTACGATTTGGTCCGTGTCTCTGTCCGTGTGGGTGGTCACCCTCACGTATAAGGGCATGCTTGTTTATGGATTTTTTCAATCTAATTTTTTGAACTCAAATATTTAACTCAACTTTAACTCAACCCCACTATCTTTAATATTATTCATACAATTAAATAATAAAAACCAATCATTCTTACACATCACATCAACTTTAATTCACTATTCATCCACTCACATAATTTTTACTACCAATCATTTATCTCCTACTTTATATCAAATCAACTTTAATCATTTTTATTTTAAATATTATTTTAATATATTTTTTAAATTCTACTAACAATTAACCACATTACTTATTCAACTTTAACTATAGTTAACAAAATAAAATATTTTAGTTGAAAAAATCCATAAACAAGCGCCCCCTAAGTGATTCGTCTGCTGTGGGAAGAGCTTTATTCTAGTATCTAGTGTGTGTTTAATTTTTGTTTGTATTTGTGTTGGTGTTTTATTCTCCCATTTGAGAAGTAGTATTCTCCACATGTAGGAGCTTAAATTACTCTTATTCTAGTTGTGCTTGTTTATGTGTTTTCGTACTTTTTGCATACTTTTGTGTATTTTTCATCTACTGTTACGTTTCATTTCTTTAAATAATGTTGCTCAGAACTCCAGGAAGGTTAGTTGGGGATGAGTAAGGAAAAATGAAATTCGACTTCGAGTCCAGATGAGCTCGTACGAGCCCGCGGCGCACGAGCGCACGACTAAGCTCGTAGGAACCACGATCCCATTAGGCGAGTGAACACATTAAGCACAAATACTACCTGATATGACATCATAGGAAGAGAAGAAGTTGTTGTCGCCAAGATTGCATTAGAGGATAACCTAGCATATTGTTTTACGAAGAGCCTTCCGGCAAATGTATGTAACAGACACGTAGAGGAGATGGGAGTCAAATGTATGACGATTAGATCGACAGAGTTGTTTTAGAATTAGATTGAAAGAATGTATACTAAGTTGTGTTATTCTACTATCAGGTACCCCTCGTACATGCCTCGTACATATATAACAACAGGTACCCCTTCAATTATTGCCAAGTGTCCCATTTCATAATAAATTTAAAAAAAAAAAGAAAAAATCATATAGGCTATAACAAAAATGACCTTACTAATTAAAAAAAGGTTGAACTATTAAAATATTTATTTAAAAGGTGTTCAATTATTCATAAATTTAAATTAAACCCAAAGACATTAACATATTTCAATTAAACCTCTTTTTAATTAAACGAATTCATGTTCATACATTCATCGCATTCTTCCGATCATCTCTAAAACTCATCTTCATAAATGCATCTTCGTAAGCTATGTATGAACTTGTTGAAGGAATATCGAAAATCCATTGTGCATTCAATGATTCCAACCGTTAAAACGAAATATGTTGATTTTGGAATCCCAAATCGCAGGCAAAATAAATGAAGGTAAATAGTTTGAATGTAAAATGGAACCTAACTCTGTCAATTGTGCATTTGTGTATTTAAATTCGTGTTCAAATTTAGCGATGCAGGTATTTACACGATCTGTGCAATTTTAATATTCATATATATATATATATTCGATAACTGATTTATTGCAAGTTTTTCCTCGTTATGATCTAATTTGGATTTTGATTTGAGGATGCGGGGTATTGAAGAGACTAATTTGTTGTATTTGTGATATAATTAACAAGTATATTACATAATCGACGAAATGTCTGTGCGAGGTTGATTACTGTGTTGTTTTATTTATTAATTTGCTATTGCTATACACGATTTTGATATAATAATGGTTGTGTAATGGCTCTCACTACCTTCATAATGGCTGTGTTCTCAAGGATGGGATAAACACCAGAATTCTCAAGGATTCTTGGATTGAAGGAGTGAAGGGGGGATGGGGTGGAATGTGGAGATGCTGAAGTAGTTTTTGATGATTATCTGGTATTTGAAAATATGAAACTTAGATCTTTTTATCCTACCAAAAAAGAGAGATGGTATTGGATTGTGGATCTATCAGGCATATTCTCAGTCAAATCAGCCTACTCTGCATTTGTTGGATACAGATGAGGGGAATGATACAGCTGACAGAGACAAAAGAGCAAGATCAAGTTGTTGGAAATTGGACATCAAATGCAAACTGAAGCTGTTTGTGTGGAATTGTTTTACTCGAACTCTACCAGTTGCAGGAAATATTAAACAAAGAGTGGTTGTGATTGATGAGGGCAGTGATCACCTCCTGGAGTTTTATTTGCAGGTGACTGAAGGAGTAATTAGCTTTTGAAGATG